CCTTGGACCGCGGGGCCCCCAAATGCGCGGGGCCCTAGGCAAATGCCTAGTTTGCCTATGCGGTAATCCGGCCCTGGATGTATCGTATAGGATTGATGGCACAAATTAAAGTTCTAGCACGTAAGAGCGACCGTGAAAACACGAGAAAACCCGGAGCACAACGAGGCACGCTGACACGCATACAAGTGACCCCCGGAACTCTCTCCAGGTAAACTCCAGTACATTGCACATGCTAGTACAGAGGTACTAGTGTTTATGCAGAGCTTGAAGAACATCATTTCAAGATGAGTAGGGGTGGCAACATCAATGTGCTGGGCATGTACACTTTTAGAGAAGCACACAGCAACACTTCCTCCTTGCCCTTGCCTGTCTCTTCTCATCCATGAGGTGTAGCCAGCAATTCTTGCAAAATTTTCTGGAGTCCTGTCATCCAAAAATGTTTCAACAACAGCTATCATGTCGGGACGTCGAGTGTTCACAAAACTATGTGTGAGCTCTCCAACATTAGTAATGAAGCCTCTAATGTTGGCCGACAGGATGCTGATAGACTGGCTCCTCATGATGAAGTGGTCAGCTTGAGGTGGTGGATGTGTAGGGCATGTAAGGTGCCTGCCCTTGAGAGAGGTAGGGTACTGAGGCAGCTGCAGGGATGTAGGTCTGTGGTCTTGTATAAGGCACAATACCACCTGCTGGGCTGGGATAGGAGTAGCTGAGTGGGTGACGTGTGAGAGTGTTCACCAATTCAGAGATCCTGCTGGTTTGTTCTTAGAACAGGTCTCTAAACAGGTGGTCCTGTCTGTCAAGTTCCTTTTTCTTCCGACACTGGTCCTCCTGATGTCCTTTCTTGTAGCAGTAATTGCACCTGGTATCTCGCAGGCAGTTGTTGGCAGTGTGCCCCTTCCGGTGACAGCGAGAGCACAGCCTGGGAGGGTGAACTATGATTTGTTGCACCTCTTTTGGTTTGCAGATTTGTCCTCAGGTTCTGCCGCTGGAACTGTGTTAGTGGAGGGTGAGACGGCTGTAGATGTCTTCCTCCTCCACGTCCTCTTCCACGTCCTCTGCCCCGTCCTCTACCAGTTCTGACAGATGTGTCCCTGCTGTTCGTACTTTGGCGCAGTAGGTGATCAGGTGAAGTGATAGTTCCCTGATTATTAACAGCACCAATCTCTGGTGGAGAAACTCCTGACTCAGAACTTGCTGATGAAGCACTGCTGCCAGATTCTGGAATAGTGTCGGCAGGTGTGCTGACAGGTGTAGGATCAGAGATGGTATGTGCACTGTCAAGTGGACTGGCAGTGGCTGAAGCAGAGATGTCAGGTGTAGGAGAATTAACAGATCCAAGGCTTCCCTCGTTGCTGGGAAGGGGATTTGTTCCCTCTGTGGTGGTCAGAGGAATTGTGCCAGTTATTTACCCCTGAGTTAAGCTCAGTGTGGGACTTCCAGTCTTTGTCAATAGTGTCACCATCAGCTGAGCAGCTTACGTCATTTGATGTAGGCTTGCACTGACCTTCTACAATAGCTTGGAGGTTATCTAATGATTTGAGGAGCTCATGAAGTGCTTCCCTGTGATGGATTATCTTAGCTGCAACTTTACAACACAGCCCAAGAGGGCAGTCTTGATCTTTGGACAGAAGTCCCTGAAGCAGGACTTCTGAACCTTCCTCCTGTAGATCCAGGCTTGTATCCACATATACCACAGGATTATGGATATTCTTCAATTTTCTGAAATTTTCAACCTGGCTGCAACAAAATTCTTCTGGAATGCAATCTTCTTTAGTTATTAATCTCAATCTGTACTGTTTTTCATAATTATGTTTTTTTTTGTTGTCAATGGACGACCTGAGAATGCTATTTGTTAGCCATGAGCTACTGTCTCTTTGCTGTGATCTCTTTAGCTTTAATATGACAGTTCTTACTGTAGAGGCTTTCTATTTTTTTTTTGTGTGTGATGAATGGTTTGAAAAACCGACAAGTTGAAGATTGAGACACTTATGCAGCATATGGGAATCTTTATTCAGGAAACGTTTCGCCACACAGTGGCTTCATCAGTCCAATACAAAGAGGAAGGCGTAAGGAGAGGAGGAGTATGAGGTAATCAGTCCCTCAACCTGGAGTCGATGTGTTCAGTCCATCAATCTTGTAGAATGTACAGCATAGGGCCGTAGACGTGGCTTTTATACTGTAGTGAGGTGAGGTGAAGCAGGCGGAGGCGGGGTCATAGTGGTACCATCCACTAGTCGAAGTAGGTCTTCGTTCAAAGGTTGAACAAGTGTTGAAGAATTCTCTGTAACAAGATCCCATGATGCTGCAGTGTCTGACAGTTGTGATGAATGGTTTGAAAAACCGACAAGTTGAAGATTGAGACACTTATGCAGCATATGGGAATCTTTATTCAGGAAACGTTTCGCCACACAGTGGCTTCATCAGTCCAATACAAAGAGGAAGGCGTAAGGAGAGGAGGAGTATGAGGTGATCAGTCCCTCAACCTGGAGTCGATGTGTTCAGTCCATCAATCTTGTAGAATGTACAGCATAGGGCCGTAGACGTGGCTTATATACTGTAGTGAGGTGAGGTGAAGCAGGCGGAGGCGGGGTCATAGTGGTACCATCCACTAGTCGAAGTAGGTCTTCGTTCAAAGGTTGAACAAGTGTTGAAGAATTCTCTGTAACAAGATCCCATGATGCTGCATTGTCTGACAGTTGTGATGAATGGTTTGAAAAACCGACAAGTTGAAGATTGAGACACTTATGCAGCATATGGGAATCTTTATTCAGGAAACGTTTCGCCACACAGTGGCTTCATCAGTCCAATACAAAGAGGAAGGCGTAAGGAGAGGAGGAGTATGAGGTAATCAGTCCCTCAACCTGGAGTCGATGTGTTCAGTCCATCAATCTTGTAGAATGTACAGCATAGGGCCGTAGACGTGGCTTATATACTGTAGTGAGGTGAGGTGAAGCAGGCGGAGGCGGGGTCATAGTGGTACCATCCACTAGTCGAAGTAGGTCTTCGTTCAAAGGTTGAACAAGTGTTGAAGAATTCTCTGTAACAAGATCCCATGATGCTGCAGTGTCTGACAGTTGTGATGAATGGTTTGAAAAACCGACAAGTTGAAGATTGAGACACTTATGCAACATATGGGAATCTTTATTCAGGAAACGTTTCGCCACACAGTGGCTTCATCAGTCCAATACAAAGAGGAAGGCGTAAGGAGAGGAGGAGTATGAGGTAATCAGTCCCTCAACCTGGAGTCGATGTGTTCAGTCCATCAATCTTGTAGAATGTACAGCATAGGGCCGTAGACGTGGCTTATATACTGTACATTCATCACAACTGTCAGACACTGCAGCATCATGGGATCTTGTTACAGAGAATTCTTCAACACTTGTTCAACCTTTGGACGAAGACCTACTTCGACTAGTGGATGGTACCACTATGACCCCGCCTCCGCCTGCTTCACCTCACCTCACTACAGTATATAAGCCACGTCTACGGCCCTATGCTGTACATTCTACAAGATTGATAGACAACACATCGACTCCAGGTTGAGGGACTGATTACCTCATACTCCTCCTCTCCTTACGCCTTCCTCTTTGTATTGGACTGATGAAGCCACTGTGTGGCGAAACGTTTCCTGAATAAAGATTCCCATATGCTGCATAAGTATTTTTTTTTTTTGTAGAAAAACACTGACCCGTTTGACAATTTCCTGATCATCAGTAAATTCTGTGCCAGTCAACGTCGCATACTGCTGTAGTAAAGTTTTTGCTTCCCCATCGTGGTGACGGAAATAGAGTTGACTTGTTTCTAGTGGTAATTTACATATGTTGGTTACGAGGAAGGTGGGGCAGTGATCAGTAGTATTATCTGTGATTATCCTCGCTTTAAGAGGAGCTATTATATTGGTACAGATATGGTTCAGTGAGGATGTATTTGCCTCAGAAATTCTCGTAGGCTTAAACTAATTATGGTTTGTATTAGCAAGCAACTAGAAACCCTGCTACTTTAAAATTCACTAATTTGAAAAGTGTATATTTTAACACTGAAAGAAAAATTGTATCGCAAATAATATACAGATAATATATTATTTATAAATTTGGTAATTTTGATAATACTTTATTCAGAGATGTTCAGTATGTATATCGGTGTATATCTACTGAGAGTTGTATACTTCTTACTGTATATACACCTCTCGGTACTCACTTAATTGTGGTTGCAGGGGTCGAGTCTCAGCTCCTGGTCCCGCCTCTGCTGGCCTCTACTGGTTACACTCCGGGCTGCATGAGCCCCATCGTACCTAGGTTCCACATCCTGACCACACTAAGGCTAAATATTTTTTAACTTCTAAGTGACTCATTTGTACTTTTACCTTCCAGTTGTGCCATTGTATACCTGAGACACACCATACTGTGTATACACTGAGAGATTATACACCTCATAAAGAAATCCAAATATTCTTCCTTGAAGCCTTTTTATCCACTTCGAGGCTATGGGTCCCACAATATACTCCAGAGGTGGACCCCAACCTCGTATATATACTGAGAGATATGTATCACTCTTTTAAGTATTTAAGTATTCTTGATTAATGGTGTTCAGGTTGTTTGTGTAGTGTTCATGTAACATGCAGCCTTAATGACCCTCATGTAATAGTTTAATATCTTTATTATGCACCCCATACCCATCCTCATGTAATAGAAAGACTTTAAACCACATTAACCAACCTACCAGCCTTAATGACCCTCATGTAGTAGGTAGACTTTAAACCAAGGACCCCAATGGAAATAAGTCACTGAATTTTTTTGGATTATCTTAGGTAATCTAAATATATACTGCTGTGTGTGATAATTTATGTATACATGTACCTGAGTAAACTTACTGACCACATTAACCAACCCGCCTGCCTTAATAACCCTCGTGTAGGGGATAAACTTTACATCACATAATTATTATTATTATTATTATTATTATTATTATTATTATTATTATTATTATTATTATTATTATTAGTGCTCAAGCTCAGCTGTTCGACGTAAACAACAATGGCGCATCTCAGCTCTGACGATTTTGGCAGATTGCAGGTGAAAATAGTCTTGTATATGTCTTTTGGCTTGCTGCTTTTCATTCAAAGTGATGCATATAGTTTTGGGACTTGATGTGCATATTTACATTATATAATCATGCATGGTTCCGTTTAAATGTAGTAAACTAAGCGCTTACATTAGTGCGTCATTTTCGGAGCTGATGGAAACGATGGCCATTTGTAAGCGTAGATTTTATTTGAATTATTAACCCGTAGGGTTAGTAACCCAGAATAACCCACACAACCAGTGTGGCTTATTCCTACTGGTGTCCTTTGATTCTCTTCCCCAGGGTGCGACCCATGACTTCGGGGCTCAAGTGGTAGCACCTCAAGTACTCCAGTGGAAATAAGTTACTGACTTTTTTTGGGGGGTTATCCTAGGTAATTTACACATATGTTACTATATAATAATTGTACTTATGCTTACCTGTACCTAAACAAACCTAGCCTGTACCTAAATAAACTTATTTACACCTTTGCCTCGCATCTGAAAGACTTAGGTTGCAATCCCAGTACATTCGGCATATTTTTTTATGCTTAAATATATTTAAATCCAACCATACTTTTCTAAAATATAAGGTAATGTAAATATTCAGAGCCACATACAAGCTACATTGTAATGCTTTTGTGACTGAATTTATGTCTACATCAATAACTCATGATTGTAACAAATATAGCCATGTAAATAGTTTACTGCCACTATAACTTGCTTACCTGTCAGAAGTGGCCATACCCATAGGATGGGTATGGGGTCCATAAAGTAATTTAACCAAGTTACATTCTTGAATTATCAGGTGTATAAATTCTAAATTCATACTGCATGAAGTGTGGCTTAGTGATAACATGTTTAGCTTGTAACTGAAGAACTGTGGGTCTGTCCTGGGCAAAGCGAGATGTATAAGTAAGTCTCTTAGCACCTCTTGCTGCTGTTCATCTAGCTATAAAAAGTACCAGGATATTAGTTGACTGCTGTGGATTGCAGTCTAGGGGGAAACCTTGATGTAAATAAGCCATACTCAGGATGTTTTTCAAACTCAAATCTCGATTCACAACACATATTCTTCAAGTCTCTGTTCTTTAGATCACATTTCTTACAACCATGTAAAAGAAGACAGTGACTGTTGATGAAATGTGATTTTCAAATTAACATGCCCTTAGTGTCTTGAGTAACTTGTCATAGATTATTAGGGCACTTGTAGAAGATTTTTGGAACGTATACAGATTGGACATTCATGACAAATTTTGTTAATATTATATAAATTACATATATACTGTACCTTTGATAATCCCATGTTAAAATGGCTCAACCATATATTTTTGTGTGTCTATATATTATGTAGGGATTCTTGATTATGATCTCATGTATGAAGATATAAATTAAACTTTAATCATATCTAAAAAAAATTGTATGACATTCTCTGGACAAGCAAGTCCATAAAATATTCTACTTACAGAACCAGCTTCTAGAATTACGAGAAAAGAATTACAGCTTGGAGGATAGTCTTCGCAAACACACGAAGGGTAAGCTTAAAGCAGTTAAAAACAAATGTTGAGTAATTTCCTACTTGTAGCTACAGGAGCAGAACTATGGCTTGTAGTGCCCCATCTTCAAATTTGTTCATCATATATTAGAAATCATTCTTTTAGTCTACCACTCTGTGAAGCACTTGTTTTTAGTATCCTTTGACTCTACTTTTTCTTCATTTCACAACTGTGGTCTCTTCTTTTCTCTCTTGCAGGTATTAAAAAATTATCTTACCTAATCTTTAATGTCTTTTTAAGACTTTATATGTGGTTATTATGGGTGTATTTTTTTTGCCTATCAGCTAGTGTAGGCATCTTAAAATATTTTCAGCCTTTCATCATAACTCATTTTGTTTTAACTGTGGTAACCATTTTGTAGCTCTTCTTTACACATTTACTTTCTAGCTTATTCACATGTTTTATATGTGTAGACACTACATAGTAACATATTCCAATTTTGTTCTGATATATGTTGTGAATAGCTTGATCATTTCTCCATCCATACTGTTTATTTTATAATGTGCCATTGTAGCATATAAGTTTCTCACAATTTCGTATATGTGTATTATCTTATGGTGACTATTTTTTTGTTAATAATAACAATTAAGTCCCTCTGTCTATGGCCTACTTTTAATATGTTATCAGAGTCTATATTCTTCATATGATCTGATTTCTATTTTTTTTCCATTCCCATTACATGTTATTTATGTACAGAGCATTAAAGTCCATCATCCTTCTATCACTCCCTTGCTTAATTTAGTGAAGTCATTTTGTAGAGATTTATAGTCACATTTGTTATTTATTTTACTTAAAATTTTTGCTTCATTTGCAAACATATTCAAATAGCTTTTATTCCTTCTAAGTCATTTGGTTAATAAAAACATTATTGGAGCTAGTACAGATCCCTGTGGCATCCCAGATCTGTGATACAGTATAATTCCTTTATTTTTAATTTTTCTGCATTTTTTCCTCCAAGAACTGACAGAAACTAAGACAAGACTACAAGGCTTAGAGGAAGAAAATAACCGCTATCAGTTTTTGATCAGGACATCAAAAAAGGCATCAGAGGTAGAGCTTTTAATTCGTGACAATGGATATCTTCGTAACAAATTAAGAGATCAGGAGGAAGATTTTCGACTCCAAAACAATACACTTTTGCAAGAGCTGTCAAGAGTGAGTAGATACAGTATTCAAAATGTATATATCCTTGAATTTAACATTGTGTTGTGTAGTTGTGATGGCTGACTTGGGTCATAGTACTGTACAGTACTGTATGTCTCATCTGTTTGTCTGCTATTTGAAAAAATCTAAAGAAGCTTGAAATTTCTTTGATTTTATGTTCAACAAAATGTCTCATCTGTAAACAAAACTGGTTTAAATCCTGAGAGGCATTTAGGTCATTGATTTAAATGAAAAATAGTAGGGGGGGGGGGCAGGGTCACTGCCCTGATCTATGTTGATAGGTTAAATTGAAGAGGTGGTGTTATTAATGAACACATGTTGGTGTTTGGTGTTAAGACCTGTATGTGAGAACATAGCTTTTGATTCTGTAATGTTCCAGTTTAGCAGCAGAATGTTGTGGTCGACTTTATCAAAAGTTTTTCTAGTTCAAAGAAATGCCCGTTTTATATTTGTTATTTAACTATTGCATCATCTGTACTTTTTCAAGTCTGATGCTAAATGACAAGGGTTAGGTATATTACAAGACATGTGCAACACTTGGGTCTCTGTATAGATATCGAAGTACTGGACCTATTTTATTCAACTACTTGCCAATTTTGTAAACCATTAATATATAATTAAGTATATTATATTTAGTTATGAATGAGTACACTCACTTATGTACTACTTTATTATTCTTTTAGATAACAGTGCCAAATTAGATATTGTCCTGTAATTGTTGGCATCAGTTGGGTCTCCACTTTTGTGGAGTGGGGAAGCTCTTGCTAGCTTATGTATATTAAGGAAACTTTTGTTTTTTTAATGATTTGTTAAACAATGCACAGGATTCTCTTTTGTCCTAGAGTGTATCTTTAGAATCAGTTTTGAAATTATACTGCCATGTACTGTAATTGTAAATGCTTGCCAGTTGGTTGGGGAGAATGAGCGGTTTGAGAGACAAGTGGAGGTGCTGTGTGGTGACAGAAGTGGTAACCAGACAGCTGATGGCGATCACGGCTCAACTGATGATTCTAAGGAGGTAAGACAGTTGCTCTTTAAGTTGAAGATTCATATTCATAAAAATAAAAAAAATGGCAGTTTGTTGATATGTGATTTTTTTTTTCAACAAACTGCACACAATGCGTGATAAAGGAATAACAGGAAACGTTGGTAGATGGATCTATAACTTCCTGACAAATTGAACACAAAGAGTTATAGTAAACAGAGTAAAGCCTGAGACAGCTATGGTGAAAAGCTCTGTTCCACAAGGCACAGTACTCTCCACAAGTCACAGTATTCACTCCCATTCTATTCCTCATCCTCATATCTGACATAGACAGGATGACACCCGAATTGCCATGACAGTGACCTCCATCGAAGACACCGCAAGACTCCAAGTGGACATCACCCAGATCTTCAAATGGGTCACTCAAAACAATATGAAGTTCTCTAAAGAGAAATTTCAACTACTCAGATATGGAAAACTTGGAAATTAAAACTGTATCAGGGATCAGGGTATACGACAAATTCTAACCATACAGTAGAGCGAAAAAGTAATGTAAAGGACCTGGGAGTGATAATGTCAGAGGATCTCGTCTTCAAAGACCACAACAATGTATCTACCGCATCTGCTAGGAAAATGGTAGGATGGATAATGAGAACCTTCAAAACTAGAGACACCAAGCCTATGATGATTCTCTTCAAATTGCTTGTTTTCTCTAGGCTAGAATACTGCTGTACACTAACTGCCCCCTTCGAGGCAGGCAAGATTGCTGACCTGGAGAGTGTACAAAGAACTTTCACACCACACATAAGTGTGATAAGGCACCTAAATTACTGGGAATGGTTGAAGGCCCTTGATTTGTGTTCCCTGGAACACAGGCAAGAGATACATGATAATAGTATACACTTTGAAAATCCTAGAGGGATTAGTACCAAACTTGCACAAGAAAATCACTCCATATGAAAGCAACAGACTCAGCAGGAGATGCAACATTCCCCCAGTAAAAAGCAGGGACACCACGAGTACACTGAGAGACAACACAGTAAGTGTCTGGTGCCCAAGACTGTTCAGCTGCCTCCCAGCATACTTAAGGGAGATTACCAATAAGCCCCTGGCTGTCTTCAAGAAGGCACTCGACAGGCACCTAAAGTCAGTACCTGACTAGCTGGGCTGTGGTTTGTACGTCAGTTTGTGTGCGGCCAGCAGTAACAGCCTGGTTGATCAGACCCTGATCCACCACGAAGCCTGGTCTCAGACCGAGCCACGGGGGCACTGACCCCTGAAACCCTCTCCAGGTATACTCCAGGTATCCCACCAAGGCAGGGTGACCTAAAAAGAAAAATGAAAGTTTCTCTTTTTAAATTTAGTAATGTATACAGAAGGGGTTACCAGCCCCTTGCTCTCGGCATTTTAGTCGCCTCTTACGATATGCATAGCTTACAGAGGAAGAATTCTGTTCCACTTCCCCATGGAGATAAGAGGAAGTAAACAAGAGAAGAAAACCCAGAGGGGGGTGTGTGTATATATATATACTTGTACATGCATGTGTAGTGTGATCTAAGTGTTAGAAGTAGCAAGATGTACCTGAAATCTTGCATGTTTATGTTCAGGCCTCAGATAATAACTGTAGCACGATCTCACATTGGCAAGGAATATAATGAGGAGGCATGGACATTGCTGGCACTGATTTCAAATTATGTCACTGTGAAGGATGCTACTTTTGCTGTGGACTACTTTGAAGAACACTGTCAAGTCAATTCAGAGACAGAAAAAAGACACCAGCAATCCTACCATCATGTACAACAATTAAAGAATGGTAGTACCTCCCTTGATAGTTGCTGTCTGCCAACCTACTACCAAGGATATGTCATTATGTGCATTGATAAATATAGTATATGTGCTTTTTGTGTGCAATATACTTCTGTACTCACCTATATGTAATCAGGTATGTGGTTAGAGGGGTTGAGTCCTAGTCCCTATATGTCTTCTTCTTTCAACACACCAACTGCATCCCACTGAGGACCCCCTATGTGTTTTTTTTTTTTTTCAACAAGTCGGCCGTCTCCCACCGAGGCAGTGTGACCCAAAAAAGAAAGAAAATCCCCAAAAAGAAAATACTTTCATCATCATTCAACACTTTCACCACACTCACACATTATCACTGTTTTTGCAGAGGTGCTCAGAATACAACAGTTTAGAAGCATATACGTATAAAGATACACAACGTATCCCTCCAAACTGCCAATATCTGTGTGATATGAACGAGCTTGTAGTAAATGAATAGAAACACACAAGAAAATGCAAGTGAAACTATCCTTCGCCTAACATCTGTCTACAACACAAATGCTTCCTTCATTGTTCTCTGTATTACCTTTCAGTGTTTCTAAATATGACTGAAAGAGGTGGGATAAATTGTCTTCAGTAATATAAGCTGGCATTTTTCATATTTATAGGGTATGGGATAGAAATTTGCCAGATGCAAAATATTGCAGATTGATGTAGTCACTGACTCCCTCTTCATATCAGGTTTCTTTCATACAGTGTATGGAAGTCACCAGTGACAAAACCATAGGTTTTTTTTTTTTTTTTTTCCCCCCAACAAGTCTGCCGTCTCCCACCGAGGCAGGGTGACCCAAAAAAGAAAGAAAATCCCCAAAAAGAAAATACTTTCATCATCATTCAACACTTTCACCATACTCGCACATTATCACTGTTTTTGCAGAGGTGCTCAGAATACAACAGTTTAGAAGCATACACATATAAAGATACACGACATATCCCTCCAAACTGCCAATATCTCAAACCCCTCCTTTAAAGTGCAGGCATTGTACTTCCCATTTCCAGGACTCAAGTTTTGTTGTTATTGTTTCTATAATTTTTATGTATGGTAATATGTACAGTAGTGTACATGTGGTGGACTCATAATACATACATGGTAAAAATTGATCAAGAAATTTGAAGTCTTGTTTTTGTTGTGTTTCCATATTTTGCTAGGGACCCCTATTTTTGTAGTGAACCTCCAGTTTTAAGACTCTAAGTTCCTGAGATTCCCAGTAGAAAATACTAATGTAGCTACTGCATAATTCCAGTTTTTATACTATAATGTTATACATACATATATATGTATATATATATTTTTTTTAAATTCTTTTTACTCAATTTCCCTGAGTTATACATCATTAAATATTGCAAATATTTGTTTCATATTTTCTTAGGTTTTACGTCTCCGTGGAGAACTCACAGCAATGGAGAAGAAATTGTATGAGGCAGAGAAGCAAGCAGAGGTAGAAAGTTTTACATTAAAGGAAAAGATGGCTTCTTTGAATGTTCATATCACTCAGTTGACCAATATTCTTAAAACACACTCCATACCTATGTAAGTAGGGCTTATGGGCCAATACTAGTTATGCAGGAAATGCACAAGTATAATGTCTCGTAGTTATTCATTGTTGTACACATGTAGTTTTTCTGTTAATGATGTGAAATATTGTGGAATATAAATCAGAAACTTTGATAGGTTATACATATGCATGTTGATAAATCTTTGATGTTTAGATGTTTGTAATAAAGTAAACAGAGTATATTGAACTTTAAATAGGATCTTTATAATCTAAATTGCAAAGCTAAGTTACTGACAGGAAATGCATTGCTTATTATAAATAATCACTAATGGTTTTTAGAGATGAAGGTGAAATCAGTTTAGCCCAAGGTGGAGGTGTAAGCTTCAAGAAACTGACACTTCAAGATGATGATGGCCTCGAGACACATTTGGAGAGGCCCAGTGGTAATAATAGTTTTCAATAAAATATTTGTTTTGTTATTTTAAATTATATATGTTTTGTTTCTTGATGAAAAATCTAAAATGCCAAAATGATCACAGTTGTCTTTTTTATGATTCCTTAGTATGATTTTCCACTTTAATTAAGAACTGTGATCTTCACTTTCATTGGATGAATATTTCCCCATCTTTTATTGATCCTGTAACTCTTGCAATATTGTTCCATTCATGATTTCCTTATGCATTTAATTTGTATTTTCTGATAAAATTTATAAAACATATCAAATTCAAAAAACTAAGTATACCAATGAATAACTAAATGAAGAGATGTAGGTTTTGGATGTTAACATGGATATTCTGTATAGAAATAAATTTTAAAAAATTACTCATTCAACATGGAGGTGATTTTTTTACAGAAATGTTTATGGACTAAAGTTGGGAAGTTTAAGACAAGCAACAAAAAATTACTGTATTATGAATGAAACTATAAGTGCGAATCAGTGTTAGATAATTTATTTAATATACGTATTTACTTGGAAAGTATCGTGAGAACTTGAAGAAAGTTAAGCATCAGGCTAGTTGTGAAAAATTTAAGGATTATGAGGGTGGGATAAATAGAGTACAGATTAGGATTAAAAGCATTGATAGTGCATATTAGCAGTGTGTTTTTTTTTTTTTTAAATATGGTGTATATAAATTTTCAGAGACATTACAACATTACCAAGAGAGAACTAGCAAGCTACAGAGTGAGGTGGAAAAAGTGCATGATCAGCTTAAGGAAGAAAAAGCAATGGTAGTGAATTTGACTTCTGAGAAAGTCAGATTAGAACAAGATCTTAAGAATGCTGATGAGAGGTTAGTGTTTTTAATTATATTGTAATGTGTTAAGTATTAAGAAGGTCTATTACACCTGTGGAATAAACATTTGCTTAAATGTTTGAAAATGCTTATGCATTTCCTTAATTTGCATAAAGGCTTTGCTTGTTTGGAAAACAGATAATAGGTATATAGTTCACGTTTATTAATGTTACATATGCCTATAGGTAAGTAAATATCATGACATCAAATACCTGAATTTAATTCTGTGTTATTTTAAGTGATAATACATGTTCCAACACTGAACTGTAATTATAAGTGGCCTTTGGCACAAACAAAGCTACATAAATATTATAATACATAAACTAGGATGAGTTATGCATTCTTTGGCTTTTCACTGAGGTCCTCTTCAGTAGACACTACTGAAGAGGGACTCAAAGTGAGGCTGAAATGTACAATATTCGTCTTGTTTTCTGATTTAGTGTTGCCATGTAGATACGTTTTTGCCATGTACTATTTTACATACTTAAAAATTGCTTTAAACAAATTATTTCTCATAAACTGTATTTCTCCGTTACATTTTCACTCTCCATTTAAATGCTTGTATATGTTAGTACACTATTTGTATGTTTGTGTATATACAGGTGTCCCTCATTTTATGCTGTAGATGCTTTCCAGGCCTATAGCAGCTGTATTAAGCTCTCTTAGGCCATAATCAGTTAATTATACATTATGACAATCTTTCATGTTCTTTGTGAGCCATACTGTTCATATACAGCGATGATTTGTCATATATACAGAATTAGCAATAGGAATAGGACATCACATCATAGCAAATTTGCAAAAAAGGAAATCTCTGTTAAACAAGGGAGACCTGTATATTCAAAAACAAAAGTGTAATGAACACTGATCAATGGCATAGCGTTCAAATTTCTGCAGTAATATTGCTGGCTAGGCCAAAATTTTAAGTTATAGTACCTCAACCTCTACACCATTGATTCTCTATATACTGTTGAGTAGATGGCTTTACCCATCATAAGCCTATTTAATTCAGAAAACATGTGGGCATCTGCATGAAATGTAGGCAAAATTTCGCCTTGTGCCAGTGGCATGCACCAATTCAGCGGGTTTTCAGGCTGCTTATGCAAGTAACTTTTCATAAAATTAACCTCTTGGAGATATTTAGAAACTTGAGAAACCTGGTGGCTTGAGAGCTCAAAGAATATGTTGTTGATGTTAATAACCATAGGGTCAAAAGCAGTAGTGATAGAGTTATATAACCACTATCAAATAACAGTAGCCCAAGAATATAGTATAATAACAATAAGAGGGAAGTGGTGCCAATATTGGAAACAGCATCAAAAAAACAATAAAAACCAAAGCAAAATTAATGAATTAAGATTTTAATTACAGCATTTAAAGTTGAGTTGGCATTTATGGGAAATGATGAAAAAAATGAGCCAGCATGTCTTGGTTTGGTTTTCAACTATGGAATTGAGTTAGGTGCCAGTGCACATGTTACTGGGACTGAAGAGAGAGGTGGAAGGGGAAAATGAAGCAGGAAAGTAGATTACAGGAGAGGGGATTATGATGGGAAGAAAAATTTCTTGAAATAGGCACAATTGGGAAGGGAACTGGTTGGTAAGGCAACATAAGAGAGTATAGCAATAATAGACTTATCAAGAGGAAACCAGGACAGGCTGCAAAACATGTTCACATGGCAAATTGGTACTTACAGAGGCCAAAACAAATTTGAACCTTCCAATAAGTAAGATGCATAGACATTGAAAGTTTAAAGCCAGTTAGAAGACCTAGCATTAAAAATTTGGAGTCAATTGCACGAGGCGTCTTTAAGTTATAAACACAAACCTGGTACTGTAGTATTGGTGCACGTCTGACAAGACAGTGATAGAGGGAATGATGGTAAAAGTGTTTCTTCTTGTTTGGGCCATCCTACCTCTTGGAGTCATCTAGTGCATTAAAAAAATTCTCTCAAATTTAGGAGGCCTCTTCTGAGAGCAGCCAATGTAGGTGTTGATTTCTGAACCTATTAACAAGTGTAACAGATATAGGAAACTACCAACAAATATCAGGGAAATTAATTGATCTGGGGCTAACATCATGCCAAACTTGTCTCCAGAGGTTCATGTTAACCGTGTAACTTCAGCAGTATATGCAAGACTAGCAATCCTAAGAGAAAAGCATTCAGAGATGCAAACACAGTATCTTGAAAAATACTACACATGACATTTATGCAGCTCCAGCATGATTCCTCCCCTTCCCCAGCTAATTAACCCCTTGACTGTCGCAACCCCAAATCCTGAGGTGTCTTCTGGTGTCGTAAAAATTAAAAAAAAATAATTATTTTTTCTTATGAAATGATAGAGAATCTTTTCCCAATGGTAATGACACCAAAAGAACGAAATTTGATGGAAAACTGATGGAATTACGCTCTCGCGAAGTTAGTGACCTCGGCAACATTTACGAATCGGCGATTTTGCCCACTTTCAGCCATATTTTCAGCTAATTCCATTGTTCCAGTCGACAAAACTCGTAGCTTTTTCTTTAGAACTCCATTTTTTCTATCAATTGAGTACAAGAAACTGCCCATTTACCGATCTCAACTACCCCAATAACGTGGTCAGAAATTTGCAATTTGGCCAATTTCACGAAAATTAAAAAAAATATGACAATTTCAAAACAGGGTTCAGAATGAACAATGCAGACATTCCTGGCTCTAAAATAACATTGTTCATCAGTCATGTCTCCAGGCCCCTCTGTTATTACTCTTGCTTTCTATTTTGAATTTTTATTTAACCCTTTGACTGTTTCAGGCCCCTCTCTGAAACTGTCATTCTATGTCGCTCAATTTTTTAAAAAAAAAAATTATTTTTTCTTATGAAATGATAGAGAATCTTTTCCCGATGGTAATGACACCAAAAGTTCGAAATTTGGTCGAAAACTCATGGAATTATGCTCCCGCGAAGTTAGCAGTCTCGGCGACATATGCGTATCGGCGATTTCGCCGACTTTGAGCCCTATTTTCAGCCAATTCCATTGTTCCAGTTGACCAAACTCTAGCTATTTCTTTAGAACTCCATTTTATCTATTAGCTGAGTACAAGAAACCTCCCATTTACTAATTTGGACTACCCAATATGGTGGTCAGAAATTGGCAATTTGGCCAATTTCACGCAAACTAAAAAAGATGCCAATTTCAAAATAGGGTCCAGAATAAACAAGGTAGACATTCGTGGCACTAAAATAACATATGCTCTGTTCATTAGTCATATCTCTAGGCCCCTCTTATATTATTATTGCTTTCTATTTTGATTTTTATTCGTACAAAAAAATACAAAATTTACTGTTATGCAGACTACTGCATTATTGTAAAAATGGTATAAATAATATCAGTCACTATGAAAGAATATTAGATCCCCAGTTGACGTGTTTTGGCGGTGATGTGATTTTTTTTACCCCTAACATTGGAAAAAAAATCGAAATTTCCGCTATTTTTGAGCTCGTTTCAAGGTGTTTTCATTGTCAAAGAAATAAAAATCTCTTATTTCTGTAATATTTTCCATTTTACACTAAGACCATGAAAACGGAATACAACGATAAATACTATACGAAAAAACCCCAAAAAGTGGGCTTTTTATTAAAAAAAAATGTCGAGTTTTTTTTTTTCTCTTTACCCCAAGTGTTGTACAGGATTTTTTTTTTGTGGTGCACACTGCCAAATGACCATTCTCTCACATGGGGCCCCTACCATTTTTTCTCCCGCTTGATTTGAAGCCGCTAAAATTATTGAGTATAATACTCAAAAACATTGGCTTTAAGACGTATTTATACGTCAAAAAACGTAAAAGGGGTTTTAAAACAAAAAATAAAAGTTTTAAATTTTATGCAGACTACTGCAATATTAAATAATTGTAAAAAAAATGTAAAACCCTTCATGACTGTATATTGAATGCTATTGGACATTTATTGGACGTACATCTTTGTTTATTTTTGGGAATATCGGCAAAAATCAAACATTTCCCTATTTGGCCCCTTTTTTCGGTTCTTTTTTATAAAAAAACAGTCAAAAATCACCTCTTTTCTATATGTTTTTCATTCTATCAAAGAGACCAGAAAGGGAAAATACAAACCATAAATCTTATAAAAAATAACCAAAAATCGGCTTTTTTAATTAAAAATACGGTAGATTTTTTTTTTTTATATCATGCGTGTGCGGGTTTTTTTTTTTATATTGCACATGACCCACAGCCCCCTTTCTCTCACATAGGGCTACCAGCTTTCCCCTGCTTGATTTAAAGGTGCTAGAATTTATGAGTATACTGTATTACGTAAAAAACGGGGGCTCTTTAAAGACGTTTATAAAAGACGAAACAGTCAAGGGTTAAAAATACAGAGATTTGAAAAGTTAAAAATCTGAAACAAAAAGCCCAGAGGGAAGAGGAGTGCATAGGGAAAAAACCCCTTGGGAAAGAGGGGGACGGGAAGACAGGTTTACAAAGAAAATTTTGATGCTAATTGATGGCCCGATATGTACAAACTGCTTTTTAAAAAAATGTGAGGCTCATGATAAAAGAACACAAGCAAAACCTTTTAAAGCACAAATAAGCCACAAGGATGTTAAAATATTTATATGTATTTTTCAGGGTGATGAATTATAAAAAGAGTTTTTGGGCAAAATTTTTTACCTTGTTTTAAAGTAGGTACTTCTGTGTCCACAAGAAAACGGAAAAATTTTAAACCCGTTTATGTGGTTATGAGGGGGAAGGTTTGACCCGCAAAAATCGAATCAGTAAAAACATCATAATTATTTACCAATATAGCTACGTTTTTAGTGGGGTTTACTTGCAGTAAATTTTTAAAAGATGATCTCAGACTGTTTTTATTTATTTTTTTTTACCTTGTTACCTCTGGCAATGCCCATCCTTGAAGAGGGGAGGGGGCCCCAAAGACCTTTGATTTACTAGGAAAACCCCGCTTCAAAAGGTTAGAAAGTGTGGCCCAAGCGAAAGAGTAGTGAGCGGAACGAGGGAACAGCGACTGGCTGACGAAAAGCAGAAAAAACTGGAAGCACAGTTAAGGAAGTTTTCATGCTTGACTCGTTTTGTAAAGTTTTTAGAGCTTGAGGGAAAAGTCATAATGTTTATTTGAGAAATTAAGTTTTTTTTACAGATCATTTTTTGCTTAAAGACTTTAAAAAATAGAAACTATAAAAAAAATATTATGCAAGTACCTTTATATGCACAGGCAAATCACTAAAAAATTTTACAATTTAGGCTTTTTTCACATTTCTTGCGGGTTTTAGTCCTTGTGGCTTTGGCTTCTGTTTTATTATAAAATAATAATTCACATTTCTTAGTGAATAAATTTTTGTTTGTATTTTTTTGATTTGTTGGGTTTTTTATCTTTGGCTTTAATGTTGTGGTACTTTACTCGAGCTTACTTGCATTTGTATGCTGTGTTGCCCCCAAAATACAGTAATAAAAATAAATTTTTTATTCTGTAGGTACTGGGTTCAGAATTGTGTATCACAGAATAAGTTTTCTATTACATAATTTGATAAAATTGAATAAGTGATGGATATTTTCCCATTTATTTACATTATTTTTCTTTAACTCCCTTTTCATAATTATATAAAAGATAGATTAAGTTCATGCAACCCTTTGCCAATCATGACTTTTTTTTCAAAAAAACCAGCCGTACCCCCCCAAGGGAGGGTGGCCCCCAAAAAGAAAACAAATTTCTTTTCTTAATATTATATTTTATAAGAGACAGGGTTACCAGCCCCTTTGCTCCCGGCATTTTTAGTCACCTCTTAAAACCAACATGATTACAGAAGAATTCTGTTCTCACTTCGCTATAAAATGATAGAGTTTAAATAATAACAAGAACTATAAGAAAAAAGAAAACCCAAGGGGTGTGTAATATTAGTTGTTACGTGGTTGTGTGACCAAAGTGTGTACAAGTACACAATGATGTACCTTCTTCATGTTGTCGAGCAGTTATACGACTACCAGCAAGCCCTGCCATCTGTAAAACAATTACAGGCTTCATTTACACTCATTGGCAGATGGTAGACCTCCCTGGGTCAAGGTCTAACAAATAAACTACTATGGCACTCATGATTTACATTGTATAATAATGAAACCATCAGGGTTTATTATGGTATGACATTTATTAGACAGAAGATGTTAAAATTTATACCAAATAAATTTAGCCTACTAGCTCCATTTTTGGATTTTTTGTTAATAAAAAACACTTTTTCTTAGATTAATTATTATAGGCACAGATATATAAATTTCTAGTTTGCTACATATGATTAAAGGTAATGGGAACAAGAGAAAAAGATAGGGAAGAGAAGTAAAGTTATAATAAAAAGAGGACGGCAGTTTAATTAAAAAATAAGGTCAGGTTATTTTTCTTATAGGCAACTGGGTGATGAGGATATTTTTTTATAATGTGACTAGACGACCAGAAGTTCTCTTTACAAATGGGTGCAGGAGAAAGAGCGATTGTGAAATGCCTGTAAAGAGGTATAAGAGAAAAATTAGCATATGAGATTTTTAAGTAGAATTTATGGAGTAAGGTATATAGAAAAAGGTGGCGTTAAGAGATTATAGAAGAAAAGTCAAAGGTTAGAGAAGTAGATGATTGAAAAATGTCTTGAAAACTAAGAAAAAAGTTTGAGTCAGAGTAACAGAAGTGCCTATGGAAAACTTGGATAAGAGGAGGATAGGGAAGAGAGATTTACAATGAAATTTGAGTTAAGATGGCAGAATATGTAAAGCTTATTAAAATTGTTAGCTCAGTATGAAAGAACCGCGAATTCGTGTATAGGACAAAGGAGCCACAAGGATGTTAAGAAGTACTTACGTTTGTAGTTTCAGGGTGATAGAATTATAAAATGAGTTAGTTGAGGCAAATTTTGTACCTTGTTTTAAGAGTAGGTACTTCTGATGTACCACAAGAAAACGGAAACTATTAATTCCTGTTGATGTAGGTTATGAGGTGGTAAGGTTTGACCCCCTGCAAACTCGAATCAGTAAAAGCATCATAATTATTTACCATATATAGCTATCAGTTTTTAGTGGCTTCACTTGCAGTAATTTCAACAGATGATCTCAGACTAGTTATTATTTATTTTTTATACCTTGTTACCTCTGGCAATGCCCTATCCTTGAAGCAGGGAGAGGGAGTGGCCACATGACTCTAGTATTCTACTAGGAAACCCTGCTTCAATAGGTTAGCAAAAGTAGTGGCCCAAGCAGAGAAGAGTAGTGAGCAGGAACAGAGGCAACAGCGACTGGCTGACGAAAAGCAGAAAGAACTGGAAGCACAGTTAAGGTAAGTTTTCATGCTTGCACCTCAGTTTTGTAAAGTTTATAGAGCTTGCCAGGGAAAAGTCATAATGTTCATATTGAGAAAAGTTATGAGTTTTATTTACAGCATCATTTATTGCTTAACAGACTTAAATAATAGAAGCTAATAAAAATATATTATGCAAGATATCCTTGATATGCTACAGGCAAATCATCTAAAAAATTATTACACATTTAGGCCTTATTTCACATTTCATTGCTGTATATAGTCCTTGTGGCTTAGCGCTTCTGTTTTATTATAATAATAATAATTCACATTTCATTAGTGAATAAATTTTTGTTTGTATTTTTTTTGCATTTGTTGGCTTTTTAGTCTTGGCTTTAATGTTGTGTGTACTTTACTCTGCAGCTGTACTTGCATTTGTATGCTGTGTTGCCTCAATATACAGTAATAAATATAATTGTTTATTCTGTAGGTACTGGTATGCAGAATTGTGTATCACAGAATAAGTTTTCTATTACATAATCTTTGATAAAATTGAATAAAGTGATGGATATTTGCCCATTTATTTACATTATTTTCTTTAACTCCATTACCATAATTATATAATAAGATAGATTAAGTTCATGCAACCACTCTTGCCAATCATGACTTCTTTCTTTCAACAAACCAGCCGTACCCCACCAAGGCAGGGTGGCCCAAAAAGAAAAACAAATTTCTTTTCTTAAATTTATTAATTTATATAGGAGACAGGGTTACCAGCCCCTTGCTCCCGGCATTTTAGTCACCTCTTACAACACACATGGCTTACACAGGAAGAATTCTGTTCCACTTCCCCATGGAGATAAGAGGAAATAAAAAGAACAAGAACTAGTAAGAAAAAAGAAAACCCAGAGGGGTGTGTATATATATATGCATGTTCACGTTTGTGTAGTGTGACCAAAGTGTAAGTAGAAGTAACAAGATGTACCTGAAATCTTTCATGTTTATGAGTCAGAGAAAAGACACCAGCAAGCCTGCCATCATGTAAAACAATTACAGGCTTCCATTTTACACTCACTTGGCAGGATGGTAGTACCTCCCTGGGCAGCTGCAGTCTACTAACCTACTACCTAGGACTCATGATTTCATTGGTATAAATTGTTCATGGATTTTTTTGCACAGAATTTCGTATGATTGAGTTGGAGGGCATGTCTCAGATTTCTCTTATGGCCTACATATATTCTCTATTGCATTTTTATTATCTAACCAGCCATATTGGCTGCTTTCAACTTAATCCTTTCAACTTTTGGGCTGGCTTTAATCAGACTTGCATGTTTTCATTGTAAATTCTAAGCACTGTGTTCCCAAAGGGGGATTTCCTAACTACAGTACAGTTAAATGTTTAGCATAACCAGGTTTGTGGAAGTTTGTTTAATTATGTAATGTGTTGATTGATAATTAGATTATTGCTCTCTGACTGGATTAGGCAGTTCACATTAATTTTTATTTGTGTGTGTGTGTGTTTGATAGTGCACATCACTGTAAGTAATTTCATGTACCTGATAATACAGTTTTATGTTTGAACCAGTAGGTGAAAAATCGTCACTGAGGACCTTAATTAAAGGTAGTGATGTGCCACTCTAATAACCAACTTAATTTAAGGGAAGTGCAGTTAATCATTGAATTTATATACAGAAGCATACTGAGTCTGTACAATGTGACCTAGTGGAATTTGCCTAGTTGTGTAATTATGCACTTAATTATAACTACAGGAGCAGAGCTTTGCTTGTGGTGTCCTGTCTTTAATAATTTTTCAATTCAAGACTTCGTTTCCCGCCTGTTTTTATTGACCAGTTTAATTGTCTTCTGTCCTCTGGGGCCGGATCATGTCTGCAATTAGAGCTGTCTATAGTGTTAGGCAGATTGTGGTGCCTTCACTGAACTCTTTCAGACCTGGTCTCAGACCAGGCTGTAGAAGTGGTGAATTTCCCCACAGGGTCAGTTATAGATAGTATACAGGTAACATACTCTTCATTTAGTGCATTCCACTTCACATAAACTGTACTCCTGAAAAATTCTTGAGGGACTTGTCGCAATTCTGCACACTGAAGTTGCTCCCCACTGGAGTGAAAGGCTTGGCAAACAGTGCAAATTATCTTCAGTGAAGAGTAGGGGGGTGCAGTGAGTACACCTGAGAGATTGTGTATGGTAGCCAGGACTTTTCATTGCCCTCCATGTCATATATAAGCTGCCTTCAAGAAGGAACTGGGTAAGTTCTTTAAATTAGTGACACCAGGAATTGTCTTCAAGTAATCTGAAGGTAAACCTTAATAACAAATAACCCTTATCAGAGGCACTTGTCTTCTCTGGCTGCTATGAAGGCGGCCACTTGACCCATAACATTAGGCTATTGTTAGGCTAATCGTTGTATGGTTAAGAAGCAACCCATTGTATCTTTTTAATCTGTGGGATGGCAGAAGTAAAAAAGAAAGATTTTTTTTTTTTTCCTCTCTCTCTCTCAACAAGTTGGCCGTCTCCCACCGAGGCAGGGTGACCCAAAAAAGAAAGAAAATCCCCAAAAAGAAAATACTTTCATCATTCAACACTTTCACCACACTCACACATTATCACTGTTTTTGCAGAGGTGCTCAGAATACAACAGTTTAGAAGCATATACATATAAAGATACACAGCATATCCCTCCAAATTGCCAATATCCCAAACCCCTCCTTTAAAAGAAAGATATTGCAGTAAATACAAAAGGAGCAGTTTATGTACTTCAGCACCAGCGAAACAAAAATGTGTCACTATAATTATGCTAAAATCTAAATCCTTGACTACTTTTGTTTACAGATTAAAGACTATGATATATATATAGTAAACGAGTGACAAGTATTAGTGAATGTCTTTTGTAGCAGTGTTGCTGCAATTGAAGATTACATAGTGGAAGCTAGGAGGGAGGAAAAGTTACACAAGACCATAAGGAAGTCACTTCTTCATAAACTTAGAATGATTACCATCATTTCTATGTGAGCTGCAAGAAGGGTGTTGGAGAAGCTTGTAGATTTTTTCATAAACCTCTGTAGGTTATTCCCTGATAAGTTTATCCTGAGTATAGTAAAGTTGTATAAATATTTGTTCAATTATAAAAGGCTTGTTGTCTGAAAAAAATAAATCAAACAGCCCATTTGAGCTATTGCCTTAACAGTGGATTTTTATTTAAGGCTTGTGAGCTTGTCCTCTTCATAACTTTCTTCACTTTCTACTGATGTTGAAGTTAGTACAATATTTATAATTTCAGTACAGAACTGGGTGTGTCAGCATTTGAGTAACTAACACATTACTAAACATGTACTAAACTAAGGGAGTGCTAGTACTGCACTCTGATATTGTTTGTTGGAATGATGTGTGATTTTTGTATATACAGGTCCTCCATCACAAATCCAGCATCATTGGGACCTGTAGTGTGCCGGATTACAGAGTGGTTAGGTTAGAGTACACTTAATAAAATTAACCAACTTGACATACACAAAGTTCATTGAACATCGGCAAAAATCGAACATTTCTGCTACTTTGAGCTCAATTTCAAGGTACTTTTCATCAGGAAACCAATCAAAATCACATCTGTAACTGTAATGTATCCTCCATTCTATCAAATGAGACAAAAAAAATGAGAATGCAACCATAAAAACCATACAAAAATATACTACTATGGGGCTGCTAATGGCTGAGAAGTGAACTCTGTTACTTATGGTCTGATTTCTTTCATTTTTGGTGTATGTTAAGAAGCTTATTTCCATCATGCATTGCCCAAGTTTCATTAAGATAGCCCAACAAACAACTGAGAGAAAAAAAAAATAATAATAATAACTTTATTTACTACACGTATATGTACATGGTATACAGGCCTAGCTGACGTCAGTGACATACTACTATATAGAAAGCCCCTTGTTATGTTAAGCATTTCAGGCAAATTAGGTCAGTGTCCCAGGATAAGACTCCCACCAGTCCACTAACACCTAGGTACCCATTTACTGATGGGTGAACATAGACAACAGATGTAAAGAAATACGCCCAGTGTTTCTACCCTGGCTGGGAATCGAATATTTACCAAAAATCGTATATGGCTAGCCCAAGCCAGGTACTAGAAATAAGCCACTTTGTCTGACTGTTTTGGGTTATCCTAGGCTCTCTACACATAGGCTGCTATGTGTGATAATCTATGTAGAGAAAATAGCTTTTTTGTTTCAGTTTTATGGTGCGGTACGAGTGTATATCACAGTTAGCCCTGTGCTATACTCCATTTTCTGTCATATAAGCCCTCAAGACAGGGATAGGAGAATGGTACGTACAGTGGCACCCAGAGTTTCAAACTGCTCCCAACTCGACCGGTTATGTAAGTGTATTATTGTAAGTGCTTTGGTAAGTGTATTTTTGGGGTCTGAAATGGACTAATCTAATTTACATTATTCCTTATGGGAACAAATTCATTCAGTAATGGAACTCGAACAGCCTTCTGGGACGAAGAAAATTCGAAACTCTGGGTACCACTGTACTTGTATCCCATATCCTCTTCATACCTCTGTCGAACTACTCGGTATTAATAATATAATAATAATAATAATAATAATTAATAATAATAATATCTTTACTTCAAGTACATGTACATGGTATACAGGACTAGCTGACATCAATGACATACTACTATATAGAAAGCCGCTTGTTATGCTGAGCATTTCGGGCAAATTAAGTCAGTTTTGTCCCAGGATGCAACCCACACCAGTCGACTAACACCCAGGTACCCATTTTAGATTGATGGATGATTGTAGACAGCAGGTGTCTTATGGAAACACGTCCCTAATGTTTTCCAGCCGTACTGGAGAAGATTCAAACTATGGACCTCAGTGTGTGAACTGAGTATGCTAACGATCGAGCTACTATTATTATTCATTCTGGAGTATTTAACATGCTTTTATGTTATTTATATTGTTTATTATGTCATATTAGATCAATTGTGATAGGCAAATAAGCCGTAGTGTTGATATTAGCGTAATAATAAAGCATATTCCCTATCATCATGAGACTGAGCTCATAGCAACCGACAGTGGCTTCAAAGCCACCTTATCTTTTATCTTTAATCTACAATGTACCGTGTAGGTGCTTTACACAATGAGAAGCATTTATTTTATTCATTGGAACCATGGCTAGG